CAGGGGAGGGAGGAGATCGAGCGAGCGAGCGAGCGCGCGCGCGAGAGGCAGAGGGAGAGGGTGAGTGGGTGGGAGTAGCTAAGAGCGGAGCTGGCACTGTCATGGGTGTGGGACATGACATGACGTCCCTCCCTCCCTCCCTCCCTCTCTCGCTCTCTCTCTCGCTCTCTCTCTCGCCCTCTCTCCTCTCGCTCTCCCTTTCCCTCTCCCTCTCCCTCTCCCTCTCTCCGCCCTGATGGCGCAGACGGCGTTGTCAAACCAACGGCGTCGCGAGGAAAACGGTGCCGCCGCCTGGCTCGAACAGGCGGGAGAGCTGGAGCTCGGTAGCAATAGCGACGCCCAGACTTCACGGTTTAGACCCATTCAAGAAATGACTCCTTCCAGGCGAGTGACCTTGGAGGAGGTTGCGGGCCATTGGAGATCCCGTCGTATTTTGTCAGGCTCCTTCGTAGCAGCAGACGGCGAGCTGCAGCAGGGGACGTCGTTGGTGGAGGAGCGCCTCCCCTCCTCCCCTCCTCCTCCTCCTGCTCCTCCTCCCCTCGCTCCCCTCCTCCCTCCCGTGCCTTCTACGGTCTCGACTCTAGGCGGTCGTTTGGTGCTCATGTCTTTGTGGTCGGCAGCTGGTTTTTGGGTCGTGAGGACGATCGTACCACCCGGGTCCTCCCAACCCTTCCCCGCCCATTGGACGGCGCCGGAGGTGTGTCACCCTCTCCCTCGTCATCATGGCGGCCAATCCTGTCGGTCTACCTGCGTAGTTGCTTTACGGGGACCGTGGTCGACACGGGTTGACATTGGCGTGGGGTAAATGTCCTCTTGCCTGCTCTCAAGCCCTGTTGCTCTTCTAGAACTGTCTACCTACCGGTGTGCCCCCAGATCCTTCTCATGCCATGTAACTGAACTGAAAGTCTCGCATCCCGCCAGCCTAACAACCACCCTTGACCACCTTTCCCAGCGCTTTGGTACTCGTCTTCTTTTCTTTTCCCTCCCTTGAGCTGTTCTGTTCTGTTCTCGCATGCCTTCTCACTCGGGCACTGCGCTCCTTGGCGCACCATGGGCGGTATCCGACCCGCACCTCCGTATCTCTCGCCACCTTCCGCCTTCTTTATCACGCCGCTGGCTTGTCTTTCCAACCTTGGCGATGTCATTTAGAACCGCTCGCCAAGTCGTCGCGTTATTTTGCACTGCGGGAGCCAAGTCGTCGCGTTATTTTGCACTGCTGGAGATACGAAACGCCGTCGTCCTCCTTTCCGCGTGCTCGTTTATCTGCCTTTGTGGGTGTCTTCTGTAAGTTCCATCTATTCTCTCGCTGCGACCGTACTGTCAGCCTTGCTGTTCCTTGGCAGTTGTAACCGAGCAAGTGAAACCCGGTTGATTTGCAGTGGTGCTCGATTGGAGAAGGAAACAGAGCGAGCGTGTGAGCTAGTAGTGGCCGCTTAAGTACGTACAAGGGTGTGTTTGTGTTCGTGAGTGCTCGCGAGTGTGTGTGTGTGTGTGTGTGAGAGAGAGAGAGAGAGAGAGAGAGAGAGAGAGAGAGAGAACGAGTGAGAGTAAAGGGCAGAGGGAGATTTTATCTGTGTGAGCGTGTCTGTGTGTGTGTGTGTGTGTGTGTGTGTGTGTGAGAGGGAGAGAGAGAGGGGGAGAGAGAGAGAGAGAGAGAGAGAGAGAGAGAGAGAGAGAGAGAGAGAGAGAGAGAGAGAGAGAGAGAGATGGCGCTCGACGTGGTTTCGAATGGCATGATGAAGAGTTGTCGGTCTGCGTCGTCGACGGAGAATGATGTTCGGGCTGTGCGGGGATATTGTCGACAATCTGTGGCGGCGGCTATGGTGCCGTCCTCGAGCGGCGATTCGGTGGGTACGTGCGGTAGGGTTGCCGCTGCGGCTGCCGCTGCTGCAGGGGGGGGGGCTGGCTCAGTGATAGCAACGGAGGTGTGCCAGGTAGGGAATGAAGTTTGTGAGTTGCCTTCAGAATTGTTTGGGTTATCTGATCTGGGTTCCGTTCTTTCGTTGGAGACGTGGAACAGTTGCTTGACGGACGAGGATCGATGCAGTTTGTTGAGGTTCCTCCCTCCCGTTGGCCCTGAAGGCATTCACGACACGCTTCACGACTTGCTTGGCGGCGCCGATTTCCACTTTGGCAGTCCACTAGCAGAACTGTGGAAGCGCCTTCAAGGGGGCCACTGCAACCCGAGGGTCGTTCGCTACAACGAAGGATTAGTCTATCTCCAAAGGAAACAGCACTACCATCACCTCAGAGAATACCACAACAAGATGGTGAACAATCTTTTGGAGATGCGGAAGCTTTGGGAGTTGTACCCGGAGGCGGATCTCTCTGACAAGGTCAATCGTTGGAAGGAGTACAAGACTCAGCAATACGGCAAGGTTGTGCCGGCGCCAATCAACGGAACACCTCTGTCTCCTCCGTTTGCGTCGAAAGTTCCTTCAGCGGGCAAGGTTCCCTCATCGAACTCAAGGAGTCGGCAGGGCTCGCATCAACAGCAGCAGCAGCGCGTTGGGGGGGAGGAGAATCATGTGAAGGGAGCGGTTGCCGCCCCACTGAAGACCCCGGTGCCTTCTTCTTCGTTGAAGGTGCGCTCGGGGTCTGCGGGCACGCCCCCTTTGCCACCGCAGTCACCGCGCGCTGCAGCGCTGTCTTCGTTTGGCGTTGCGTTCGCTTCTCTGGCGACGCAGCAGCGGAGTGTTCCTGCTGTTGCGCCGCGAACTGCTGATTCTTCACCGATCATCACCAAGATACCGAAAGTGAGCGCTTCATCAAGAAAGAGGAACGATCAGGAGCAAGAGGCGCAAGGCGCCGCGGGTGCGCCGACGGCCGCCCTCAAGCAACCCAACAATCATAAGCGGCCGAGAATGTCCCCTAGCGCAGCAGGTATGGCCTCCCGAGGAGCGACGCCACCGCCCGCGGTGTCAGGGTCACCGAAACTTCTCTCGAATCAGCACCACTACCAGAATGGCGGCACCGCCAGCATGGGGAAGAAGTCACCTGTTCTCGCAATGAATGCTGCCACTCCTATTCCGCCGCCTCCGGAGGCCAACTTGCAAGCTGCGGAGGCGGTGGAACCGGCGAGAGAATTGGGGGACGGTGGTCCGCCTTTCTCCACGCGGCATGTTCTGGGTGCCGTCCGTGCTGCGCTTCTTCAACCTTTGCTAAGCAACAATGGCTCGGTGCCGGGAGAGATTTATTGGTGGTCTCTTCGCGACATCGTGGAAATGGTGAGAGTCAATCCTGGCGATCAGCGGCTTGCGAACGTATCTGCGGAAGCCGTCGGGAAGATCGTCAGGGCGGCCTTGTACAGCCTCGCGCATCGACCCACGACCGCGTCGGCTGGTCTTAAGCAGTCCCAACCTCTCGTTCACCATGACAAAGAGAACAAGCTGTGGGCGTGGACTGGTCCGACTCCTCCGTCCTTGGGAACGACGACGATCACGATGTCTGATGGCTCTCCCGTCCTTGTCATCCAGGCCGATACGGAGGGATGGGGAGTGAGCAGGAAAGTGATTGCGAAGGTGGACAACTATTTCAGGGATTGGCTGGTATCTTTGAAGTTGGACGAACTGTTCCCTCCACCGCTCCCGCCCCCAGTCGTCCCGGCGACGGTGAGCGACAAGGAGCGCTTCAGCTCGGTGCGCGCGCAGAAAAGCACAGTAACTATCGACTCCTCGACGATGGACATGAGGCAGTACTTCAGGATGGAGGAACGGCATCGCTATGCGGTGCCCGACAGGGCGTTTCATTACACGGCCAGGGATGGAGGAAAGGCGGTGGTCGCTCCGATTCGGCGGGGAGGGGGGAAACCTACCTCCAAGGCGAGAGATCATTTCATGTTGAAACCGGACAGGCCTCCGCATGTGACTATTCTCTGTCTCGTTCGCGACGCGGCTGCTCGTCTTCCGGACGGAATAGGAACGCGAGCTGACGTCTGCGAGCTCTTGCGAGACTCGCAGTATATTGTGGAGGACGTGTCGGACTCTCAGATTAACCAAGTTGTGAGTGGGGCGCTCGACAGGCTTCACTACGAGCGAGATCCTTGTGTGAAGTACTGCGGAGACCGGAAGCTGTGGATGTATCTGCACAGAAATAGGATGGAGGAGGACTTCGAAGTGGATGGCACGACGTCGACGAAGAGGTGGAGAAGGCCTAGGAAAGACGCGCGCGGGGTGAGATTGGCGGAGAACGACGCGCAGACGCCATCTCCGCGAGTGCGGAGCCCGTCCGCGGATGAGGCCTCGGGGTCCCCCGCTTCCAACATGCAACTGGCCCTCGTGCCGGCAGGCGGGGAGGGGATGGTAGCAGCCGGGGGCTCGCCCCAGGATGACAGGCTGCTGTTGTTGGGGAACGAAGATGATGGCTCGTTGGAACCAGACGGGAACGGCGGTGAAGCAACGGCAGCAGCTGGAGGTGCAGACGGGGGGGGCTATTACAGCAACAGCGGTAGGCGGAGCGGGGCGGCTGCCGCTGCGGAACTTGGTTACCAGGAGGCTCCCAGAGCTCCTCTGCGGCTGAAGTCTGTCAAGGCGGAGAGTGGTCTTCAGTCAACGTCCTTGTCGCGGAGGGGAGGGGGAACGGTCCCTGGTGTCACTAATCTGAACAGGTGTCCGCCGCGTTCAGGATCTTCGTCGGATGACGGCGATCATCGACGGGATCACCACGACGGTGCTGGCACAAATCATCTGACCATGGAGACGGTGCCGATGTACAAGGGGCATCGCATGCATGGCGGCGAGTCTAACAACTCGCAACGCTGGCAGCATCAGTCCTCTGGCTACGGCGGAAACTGGGCAGCGTCTGGAGGGCCTGATTCCGCAGTTTACCCTGACGAAGGAACGGAGGAGGAAGAAGAGGATGCTCGACACCATCATGACCGCCGCCATCTTCACGAAGAAGATCACGAAGAGATGCTTGATCAAGATACCGAGTGAAATAGGAACGAGGGACTGCTTTTTATGAAATAGTCCGCTCGACGAGTCCCGATAGGGTTTTTAGATGTAGTTCGCGAATGTGGATAGTTAGGCCTCCGAAGCTTTTAGTGCGAATACAGACCCACGGCCGCGACGAGATAGGGGGACGATAGACAGTCAGTATGCGCTCGCTGTATATTCCGCTCCGCGTGGGTTAAGAGGGCAAGGTCTTGGTAGAAGGATATCGACTCTCGCGCAGTAGGTAAGGGTCTCCGTAGGTGCGCTGTGGCTCGTAAGAGTTACGTACTGTTTGTGTAGCTTCTTCAGTTGATTGGTGGTGTCTTCCACCGACCACGAGGGATCTTTTCTCGGTCGGGTAGGGCAAAGTGATTTCCTTACTCCCCAGCCCTCTCCAATCTCCATCTCTGACTTCTCTGCTCGAAATTTGATTGGCTTGTGTTGTCGTTCGCAGTCATCGTAGGTAGAAACTCTTGCAAGGCTCCGTTGTTTGCTCGATGTATGCGGCAGCAAATTTCATTGCTCGTCAGCGCGTGCTTCCCGCGGCGCAAATATTCTTCTTCTTCGACGTTCTTTTTTCCCCAAAGAGCTCGTCCGTCCTTTGTTTCATTTTTCCTGTGACGTTCTTTTTTCCCGAAAGAGCTCGTCCTTTGTTTCATTTTTCCTGTAAAACGAACTGTGTGTGTTCCTTTTGGAGACGAGCGAGTTTGGGCTCGCGCGTTTGGTGTATCGTAAACGAGGTCTCATCTCTGTTGTGAGATGCATTGCAGAGAATATTCTTTATTTCAGTTTCAGAGAGATAATTTTCAGTGATTGGAGTGTGTGTGTGCCTCTCTCTTCTTTTGCTTCGCATCACCAGGACTTTTCCGTCCCTTCTATTTCTTTTGTCCTGTGTGCTGCTGTCCTTATCTTCTTGTCTTCCCCTCTTGGGTGCTTTTACAGCCTTCCCGTGTGCCTCTTCTCTTGCTTCGCAGCACCCCAACTTTTCCCTCCCACTCATTTCTTTTGTCATCTGTGCTGCTATCTTCTCGTCTTCACCTCTTGCGTGTTTCTACAACCTTTCCTCTTCGGGCATGCCCTTTCTCTGGTCCTTTCTCCTCTCTTCCCATTCCTGGAAATACGCTCTCCGTACTCACTCTGGATGTTTGACACAGAATTTATCGTTCTCGTCAAAGATTTTCTCATTTCTCTGTTGGAGGCTATGGTGACAGAAATGAAATGAATAATGCTTCGTGGTTGTTTAGATGACGATGGGAATTGGTGTGGAGTGGAAAGGATGGAAGGTAGGTTAGTGCAAACCGACCTGTGCAGTTTGTACGCGTTCTCGTTCTGGAATCCTCGACGTCCGAGCTCAGTACTGCTCATAGTAGTGGATGGACTTCATAATTTTTTTCCATATGTTTGTGCATACTTGCGTTTGTATGACGTATCATAATGATACTGTATGTCGAACATTTCAGATGGCTGTTTGATGCGTGATGAAAGTTCGTTTTCGTGACCTTCACCTACGGTCTGCTTGTTATTTCCTGTAAGCAAAAGAGGAATGTTTACCAGATGATTGAACTCTTCGCTCTCGTTGATTCTGTACACACTTTCTTTGTCGCTCAGGAACGTTTCTCTCTGCACTCTCCTCCGCTCTTTGTCTTCTTGTCTTGATGTCTTCCGGACCCTCTGTATCTGCTGTTTAATCATCTCTCTTTCCCCTTGGTTGTTTTCAACGCTGTATTATCTTTGTGTTGCGCTTCCCTCGGAGGGGTCTGTCTTTGAATGGCTCTCCCGTAAGCATCTCCATGTCCGTTTTGTGTTGGCTGTGCGATATATGTCCGCTACCTACCTTTGGTTTGCCTGCCAGAATTGCCCGGTCAGAGGAGTGTATCTGCTGTTTAATCCTCTCTCTTTCCCCTTGGTTGTTTTCAACGCTGTATTATCTTTGTGTTGCGCTTCCCTCGGAGCGGTCTGGCTTTGAATGGCTCTCCCGAAGGCATCTCCATGTCCGTTTTGTGTTGGCTGTGCGACTGGAAACGTGGGTATGATATATGTCCGCTACCTACCTTTGGTTTGCCTGCCAGAGTTGCCCAGTCAGAGGAGTGTGTGTATGATAGGAAGGCTCATTCCAACGGGCAGGGAGTTGTTAAGCACTGGGCAAGGATTTCTGCTGTTCGCATAGAGCTCAAATACTCTCGCTCTGAGCATGGCTTCTTTCTTTTAGTCGCAGTTTATTTTATGCATGTGTGCTCAAGGGCGGAAGGAATCTTTGAAGTCTGGAATTCTGCATGGATCGTTAATTAGTTGATCTGCGGGATTCTATGATGGATGGACATGGGCATATGCGATATAGTTACCGCCAGTCTTGCTTCTGACGTCAGAACTTCGGAGTGCTAGTCCTGCTGCTTTGAGACTTGCCTGTGCTGCGAAATACTACCGTCTTCACCCGAATAGAACGGCCGGTCATTATAGCTGTATTTGGGGCAACTTCCAGTCCAGATACAGCGATAATTACCGGGCGTTCTATTCGGGTGAAGACGGTAGTAATAAGGAATCAAAGCTGATTCAGGTTGGTGCTACATGCAGTTATATCTTTGATTACTGACCACCTTTTTATATGTCGCCCCTTGCGAACAGAGCACGAGCACATGGAAGCCGTGTAAACATAACCTCAAATCCCGGGTGGTTGTCAGGGTCCTTTTGTGGGTCATATGTCCTGTCTGTTTGGGAAGGTAGTGGTTGGAGTCCGGTCCGGAAGACAGGCTTGTTGTCTACTGATCCTCGAGGAATGAATGGTATGGTGAAAGGGGAAGTATTATGGAAAAACAAGGTGTACGAGGAATGAATGGTATGGTATGGTGAAAGGGGAAGTATTATGGAAAAACAAGGTGTAGTCTGTAGGGGGATTTAAAGGACACTAAGACTGTTAAAAACGCATCTGATTGCTGCTGCTATCGCGACAAGATTCAGGCGGGATCACCCTAATCTAACAATATGTGCGCCCAGATGAAGATGAAAACTGGTTTCAAGTGTATTTCTTTCTCTCTGTCTCTTCCTCGTGTCAAGTCTTCTCGCATTTGGGGGTTATTCGTAATGCACACGCTTTGCACGGGCGTGACGTTGAACTCTCGATATTTCGACGTGAACGAATGGGAAAGTTGATAAGTGGCCTTAGTGTTGAAAAGACGAGTCTCGTTGTTAAGCCAGCGATGGACACGGGGTTGTCCTATCTCGCTGGCCTGCTAACCTCCCCAAAGGAAAAACAGAAGAGATGTACGGTCCACAGCGAGTTAGTCTTGCTCGCTCACCTTGCTCTGTGGACATTTCCTCGGGCAGAGGCGGTTTTGTTCAGTAAAGGCGCGCGCGTGTGTTTGTGTATGTCGGGTGCAGGGAGTGAAATAGTGGGTTCTTCGCTCACTGGATTGCTCTGAGAAGAAGGGTGTTCGGTTTCTTTATGGCGTGCGTTGCGCGGTTCGTGGCTCTTCTCAGTGAGACCACGGTGTGTAACGGCTAAATTTGCTCTGGAGAGTTGGGGGTGCTGGGACCTCGTGCTAGGTGATAAGTGATTTTTTGAAAAACGTTAGCGAGGTGCTGGGGATAGTGGACCTTGGGAAAAGCAGAGGAGCTGTGGGAGGAGGGGGTGGTGTGAGTTTTAATCGCTGGATGGACGGCCCCCGGTAACTGTACACACTTAGAGGTGCCTCATTTTTGGATCCTAGCGCTGTTTGCGATTTGAAATTGGACCATTTTGTAGTAGTAGGGTTTGCATTGGCGGGACGAGCCTTGCACGTTGACATGACCTTGGTAAACTGAGTGGAGGAATGTTGCCGACGTTGCGCTTGTCCTGTTCAGTTCGCGATGCGTGTAGTGATCTCATGGATTCATTTGCTGAAACCTTGAAGGCGATTATGAAGGAGAGGTTGGGCATCGAGATTGGCAGCGACGTGAATGATGCTTAAGGCGAGAGAAGCCATGTTGTGAGCGGAAGAGCAGAGGGAGAAAGAGAGGGTGTGCCGAAGGTGGTGGCATTGGTAAGGTGAGATTGCCAAGTATTTCTCTCTTCTCGGTCTCCACCTCTTCTTCTTTGTATCCTACCTAACCCTTCTTTCCCCGAATACCACGTACGGTCAGTATAGCTGTAGTCGGGGCATCTTTCAATCTAAATACAGCAATAATGACCGTACGTTGTATTCGGGGGAAGAAGGTAGCAGGACAATCTGTGTGCTGGTTCATCTGCGTGGACGTTAGTGCGATTGCCAATAATTCATCAAACATTAACCAGCGGTGAGATGATCTTTTGTTTACGGGAGTGAAAAGTACTCCAGTCCTGGCGGCCAGGGGAACAGACCGTGTGATTGCGAATGATAGTAGAGAGGCGATTAGTGTGCTCTTGCGCCATGGAAGTCGGGTGTTTACGCGGTTGCTCCCATTTTGTACACGCTTGTCCGAAGAAAACCTGTTGAGTGGCGTCTTTAGGACAAGTGCACCTGTTCTTAGAACTGGATTCGTTTACTAGGTTGTGGTTTTGCCGTGATTGCGAATGATGGTAGAGAGGCGATTAGTGTGCTTTTGGGGCATGACAGGCAGGTGTTTACGCGGTTGCGCACGCTTTTGACATGTGTACGCATGCGTGTGCTTGTCTGAAGAAAATCCGTACAAGTTTGGATGGAACTCACATGGCAAGTGCGCCTGTTCGTAGAACTGGAGTGTGTTATCTCTTTCATGTGCGTGTGTGTGTGTGTGTGTTTATCCGTGGACATGTATGTGAAGTGCTTTGTGTGTTGGAAGCCATGCATGCTACGTTTGGCATAACACAGTTTGATGGCAGTGTATATTCGGAGTTAGCATTTGGCGACAGATTACTGTTAGGTGGAGACTTTAGGGATATTGAAGAGAGGAGAACTGCGATACTTGACGGTTGCGCTGTTTCTTGTATGTAAGAAACTGAAGTGGGCGAAGTTATGTCGTCGGGAAGCGTTGTTCTTCATGTCGATGCTTGCCGCTGTCTGCTTTTAGCCTTAGTGCGCATCCTTTCGGACGTGGTGGGGATGAGTGGTGTGGCGGTGGCCTGAAGGAGGGAAAGGACACGTGTCATGAGAGCGGTAAAAATATTATGTGCGCGCCGCACTCCCGTCCGCCAGACGTTAATTGAAATTTGCGCGAATTCCAAAGTAAGCCTGCTAGACCTAGACCTTAATAGGTATATACAAGCCCGCCCTCGCGACGCTCTCCATCGACTCCGTCTTGGCGCGCTAGGCGCGTTGAAGATGTCGTCGAGGGTGGCGGTTTACTTTGAACTCGAGCATCCCGCCTATCTTTATACTCTCCTTAACAGCGGATTCTCCTGGATGTAGAGAATCAAGGAGAATATGGGTGTTTAAGGTATATATATGGGTTCGTCTCCGCTGTTAAAGAGTATGTGGGTGGATGGTCATGGGGTTATTACGCAAACGAAAAACTTCTCGTCTTGGGTTTGTCAAGTTTTTTCAATACGAAGCTTTTACATTGGCTGGCTGCATCCCATTGTCGCCGTCAGAGGTCGATCATCCCTGTTGTGCGACCGATCGTTGGAGCGCGCGGCAGTGCGATGGAAATCATTCCCTGTTGTGCGATGGCAGTGGCGGTGGCAGTGTCATGGATGCATCGGGAGATCCCGGAGAACCGTACAGGTTGCCCGCTGAGTGGGAAAAGTGAGTGTGTGTGTGTGTGTGTGTGTGTGTGTGTGTGTGTGTGTGTGTGTGTGTGTGTGTGTTTGTTTGTGCAGGCGTGCTTCATGAGCCGACAGTATCCTTCTCGCCTTTCATGTTCATACATGAGGGGGGGCCTGTTTGAGAACATACAGTATGACATTCCTGAATCTATCTGACTTTAATTTTTTTGCACCACTCACCGAATGCACAAAAGACAAATTATGGCGGTGCATCTTTCCATGTTGTAGCCGAAGGTTCATTCTCATTTTGCACGTGGGAAGAGAATAGCTGTTGTCGTTTTCACATTTGAGTGAGTAGTGCGGCGAGGCGTGTAGTGCAAGTATGCTAAGGGCATCGCCACACCACTCACCAAATGTGGAAAAGACAAAAAAGCTATGGTGGGCGTATCTTTCCTGGCTTCAGCGGAACATACATGCTGCATTTTGTCACGATCACAGAGTGCTGCGGCGAGGCTCTAACAGCAGCAACAAGAACGGCGGCCAATGTTGAAGTGCGCCTTCACGCATGGATTCATATCTGAGGAAATGGCCACCATGGGCCTCGCTGCACTACTCTCGAAATGTGCAAAACGAGAGTGAATGTTCTGCTACAACATGGAAAGATACACCACCATGATTTTTGTCTTTTGTGCATTTCGAGAGTAGTGCAGCGAGGCCCCATGTCCAGGGCTTTGGACGGCTGCTGCATGTGTTTCCTTCCTGACATCGCGTGCTTGCGTCTTAGTGTGTAGTCGTACAGCATGCTCGCTTCACCGTGGAAAACGTCACTCAAATTGGAGGCTATTCTTTTTTTTTTGCTTCAAAAATTTGCCCGTTAAGAACGACGTGCGCATTCAATGGGCCTGGCAGCACCACTCACCAAATGCGATGTGAAAACGAGAAACTATGGCGGTCGTATCTAGCGCAAGAGACGTTGCCCATGTTGCGAAGCCCCTTATTATGGGTGCTTCGCTGGCATGGCATGACTACTGCCGGGCGCTCGGCTGGCCGGCCGGTCGGCTTGGCGCTTGCTCTGCTTTATCGTTATCCAAAGGACCGTGGCTCCCTTCTGCCCTCTTTCTGTCAACAACGCCGCACGCACTTCTGAATTCCGACTCCTTCTGCATGTCTCCCGCTCTTTTTTTTTTCATTCTTTTTTTTTTTTTTCCCTTTCCTGACGTCCTTGACATAGGTCAGTTGGTTTTCCCGCTCTTTTAGGGTGTTCCGGCACGAACAATTTCGCGGGAGCCCTTGTGACCGCAATGGCGGCCAGATTCAGGCCCGAATGTGTTCAGATCGATTCGGCTGCACACGGTGCAAGCGCAATGGGGTTTTGGCTGACGGATGGATATGTTCAATACATTCCGCGTGCCAGCGCTTATGCGTTGGGCGTCTACCTCCTGGAAAGATAAATTCTCTACCGCGTGGGCGCGGGGAACGCAACCCTACTAGGGTAGCCAAAGTAATGTCATTGAGACTAAGACCGCGCACGAGAGAGAGAGAGAGAGTGAGAGAGAGAGAGAGAGAGAGAGAGAGAGAGAGAGTTTTGTTCCATTTATTGTTACGAGTGTGAGAGAGAGAGACAGAGAATGAGAGAGAGAAAGAAAGAGAGAGAGGGAGAGAGGGAGGAGGGAGGGGGGAGGGCTACGAGAGAGAGAGAGAGAGAGAGAGAGAGAGAGAGTTTTGTTCCATTTGTCGATATGAGTGAGAGAGAGAKAGAGAGTAAGAGAGAAAGAAAGAGAGAGAGAGAGGAAGAGGAGGGGCTTACCACATTGTTCCATTTGTCGATATGAGTGAGAGAGAGAGAGTAAGAGAGAAAGAAAGAGAGAGAGAGAGGAAGAGGAGGGGCTTACCACACAGAGAGAGAGAGAGAGAGAGAGAGAGATGCTGAATGGCGAAATTGAAATATTGGTAAAATTGCGGCCGTGATCTATTTCACAGTTGGAGTGATTTTTTTAAATTTATCGAGCGTTTTTCCTGGAAAGATCGCAACAAAATCTACGAGCACTCCAATTTTCAGGTTTTTTCACGCATTCTTCTGGAGTGCGAAAACTCACTGAATTCAGAGTACTTTTTCAGTTGGCCTACACAAGTGGCAAAAATGGAAAATGTGCCGAATGGGTTCCACGATCATTTCGCAGTCTATGATTCTTTGAAAGTGTTCTAATATTATTCCTGGAAAGAACACGACCTTGTTTATGGATTCTCAAAATTTCAGATTTTTCTGCGGGTTCGTCCGATCACAGAAAATCGTTCTCAAAATTTCAGATTTTTTTGCGGGTTTGTCCGAGCACGGAAAATCGCCAAAGTTGCCTCTTGCAAAACGCCTGTTTTGAGAGGACGGGCCTGACCTCCCTGTTTTGAGAGGACGGGCCTCAATGCCTGGGCCTGAGGGCCGTTTTGCAGTTCACATGCCCTCACTTCTTTTTGGGGTCCGCTTCTACCCGAGGACCGGTCCAACGCCCCCCACTTCTTTTTGGGGTCCACTTCCACCCAAGGACCGGTCCTTCCTTTTTCCAGAAGTCCCGGTTCTACCAGAGCTAGCTGTAGGTAGTCCGCAATTTTGGCAAGGACCGGTCCCCCAAATTTTTTTGCCCCCTAAGAACCCACTTCGCGTCCTGGTCACCCGCCGCCAAAAATGCGATACCTTGACACAGACGCGGAAGCCCACTGACACGGACGTGGAAGCCCACTATACCGCAACCTTAGGGCTGCGTACAAACAATCGGAATAAAGCTCGTTTTCTTTCATGTTGGTTTGGTTTTCTGCTGCCTGTCAACCAATCTCATGTTTGTTTCCCATTGTATGCATTCTTTCACGGGAGCTCTGTACTCTACTGCTTCCACTGGCGCTTGTACTCAGGTCTGTATTTCAACGATTCATGAGTGTACCGAGGGCTGGACCCCACTGCCTGGCAGTAGCTGGGCGCTTGGAAGGCAAGCCTAACCGACCCCCCTGGTGGTGGGAAAGGCAAAATGCAAGCCTTCAGCAGCACAAATTTTCGGCAGGTTCGTAGGTCTGGATTGCTCGATAAGGAAAGCTTTCCTTATCCAGAAAGTAAGGGCCTCGTTCCACACCACTTGGAACTCTTTAAGGGTTTCTTGTCCAACACCGTTCCAAGGTGCCCTTGAGTTTTGCTAATCACGGCCCGGCCGTGATCAGGTTTTTGGGCTTAGCAAACGGGCGGGAAAAGCTAGAGGGCGGCTCAAATGCGGCCCAGGCAAACCTACCTGTTTTTTTTTTTTCTTCTTTAACCTACCTGTTTTTCAAGTCAGCTCTCTGGGCACACTTGAGCTGCACTTGAACACGGCGCTGCAGGTACATGTAGAACCCCTGATAGTTTTGTTTTTTCGTTTATTCTCCTTTTTCTACGGCGTTTGTCTTGGTTGAACCTCTGGCGAGCTGTTGCAGCACCATTCCTGTTCGTTTCAAGGGCGGACTCGAGGGTTGAGTGGAGCAAAATGTGAATCACGCTTGGAGCTTGAGTGTGCAATCGAGTTTCAAGTGAAGTGGTGTGGAACGAGGCCCTAAGCTGCACTTGTTAGTATCCCCCATTCAGTCCCTGATCACGTTTCGGTTGGCTGCAGAAGGGGTTCCCTGCCCCCCCTACTCCCTTTGAAGGGTGCAAGCTGCAGAAGGGGTTCCCCCTCCTCCCCCCCTCCCCCCTCTCTAACTCCCTTTGAAGGGTGCAACCTTGTGAAACGGCCGAACTCGAACTGAGTGAAAACGTCTGCACTTACGTAATTTGGCTGTTCGAAAGTCGTCTGGTGAAGTGGGGTCCAAGCCTGAGCTAGACCAGTTTTTTTTGTTTTTTTTTTCCCTCTTGAGCTAGGCCAGTTGACGTTGCTCTGTTTTCATGGGCTATATTGTTTTTTTTTGTCTGGCCATTTGGCTGGGTATTTGTTCCTCCCCTCTTTGGCTCGCCTTCAGTGCATGAGTTTTGTGGAGGGTATCGCTGCACCACTCACCGAATCTGAAAAAGACAAAAGCTATGGCCGGTGTATCTTTCCACGTAATTTCCAGTGTAGGTACTGGTATAATGACCATAAGTTTTATTTGGGAAAAGACGCGTAGGTGAAGGTACGTTCTCCGTTTTGCACATTTGGTGGCTACCGGTAGTGGAGGGAGGTGCTAGGCTCCTCCTGTGCAGTGCAAGGGAGGCAGAGAGAGACCGGATGGTTGGTCCACCAAGAGTGATTCGAAAGACAGGTGGTGGCGCTTACCGTCGTTGTTTCCCTGATTGAAGAAAGATAGGATGAGAGAGACCTTGATGAGAAGTGGAGCATGGCGCTTTGCAGCACCTGGTGGTGCTCACGTCGTTATTGAAGAAAGATAGGATGAGGGAGACCTTGATGGCAAGTGGAGCATGGCACGTCGCTGCACCTGTCTCTTTATTACACGTTGTGAAGAAGGCCATACTCGCACTAGAACGTTCAGAACTGAATCTAGTCATAGTGGCATTCAGATACGCCGGGGAAAGTCCTAGTGTGACCGAGTATGCTCTGAAAAGCTGGTTTGGAGGAGGACAGGGTCGAGTAGACATTGGCTGGGGGAAGGGGGTTCAAAAGGATGGTTAAGCGAGAACGAATGCTGATCCAAGATCTCCAGACTCTCTACCTTTGTCTTCGCTTGCTACATTCAAGATGTCAATGAAACCCTACGGTCACCGTGATGATTTTCTTTCGTCTTTCTTTCTGAATCTTTCCGTTCTTTACCTTAGTCCTTATCTGTTCGTCTTCCGGGTGCTGTTGGATTTGAGAGGGAGTGGGGGAGTGTAGTGGCTTGACCACAGGGAATGGCAGTCGTTTCACCTCACCTAGGACAGACCGAGTGTCGCAAAGATAACATGAGAGGGATGAGAATGCGACATTCATTCTTCTGCTGCTTCAGAGAACACGAGGTTGTGTCTCGTTGGCCTCAGGGACAGTCTCTCTATTCAACAGCTCGAAGTGCGGCCCTGAGCACCCAACAGTGGAAACGAAGGTGCCGGCGAATTACACCTGGGGCGATGACGGATCAGCAATGCCCACCCGGAGCGATGACCAACCAGGAATGCTAATCAGTTATGATTATGGATCATATTGTATTAGTCACGACTCTTATAAAGTCAAATGAAATGCACTCGTTTGACTGCTCAGAAATGATCCCTCGGAGCGGCCTCCAACCCGTTTAGCAAACCAAAGATGGCGCGTTGTAAGTGCGAATGACAAGCGTGCATTGTGTTTTCGTTTTGTTTTCCTTTTTCTTTTTTCTTTTTCTTTTTCTTTTTTTATATTTTACTTTGGAGGAGGGTGCAATTTGTGATTGACTGACGATTTTGTTCTTCAAAGATAGTAATATGCTCAAGCCTTTGCATGCACCCAAAGAGAGAAGAATGAAGAAGAAGAAGACAGATATATGGATGACCTGAGGAGTGAAATTAGATGGATGACCTGATGACTGAAGTGGATTTGTGTTGTAGCAGGTGTCCTCTGAGTATGCGGGAGACGACAATGACGGTTTGCAGCAGAAAGCCGTTTTGTGTTTTCTGAGCTCTGCCTTTTCCTGTTCAGGAGGCGAAGGCCTAAGGGCAATAAGGAGAAAAAGATCACAAACATCATAACTTAATTATTATAGAACTGTGAGTTCCTTTGCGCACCCCCCCCCCCCTGCCCCCCCTCTCTTTCCTATCCCAATGTCCTTGACAGTATTTCCATCTCAAAAGGAGAAAAGGAGGGAGACGCAAACGATGTGATCTGGCAGATTTACTCCGGCATTGTTGACTTGCATTAATTACTTGACGAATGCAGATCAAGCAGTTTTGGGGGTTGGGAGTTACATGATGGCCAAAAAGAGTGGATGGTTTTACTGTAGGTCTTCTCTGCGATCATCGCTGAATGCATAGGAGTGATGCGAGATGTATTTCGGTTGATGTCTGTATACAGTGAGTGGAGCAGGAGCAGTGGAACTCTGCAGATAGTTCATGCCACTGCAGGTCACACGTAACGCCATTTTATGGGGGGGGGTTTCTCTGCATACAAGTACTTTTTTTAATCTTATCTTGTCCATGTTATATTCACGCCCGAGGCATGTGGTGATAAGATCATCTGTGGGTTTTGAACTCTTCTGTTTACCCTTCCTTTACCCTCTTTTCTTTGCAGTGTGTTCGTGAGGGCGGAGGGATGATTTGCAGCTCCAACCAAGAGGCCCTTCCCTTCTTTTGTTGTTAGCTTGAGTGAAGCCTAGACTTCCAGTCCAATGAAGCAAATAATCATTAGTGGCTGGCTGTAAAGGCATAGTTACACTCTGAAGTTTGCAGCTTTATAAGGCCGTAATACACAGTCACTCCACGCCAGATGCATCAAGGATACTCCGAGTCTGTGCATCTGCTAAAGTCTCAAATACCACAAAGATTTTTCGCTGGAATTCCTGAATGAATGGCACACCTGTGTCCTTGCTTGCACGAAATGGAGTGCTGACGTGGAACTCCATTGCGCTTCTTTTCCTTGAAGTGCCAGTACGGCAGACCCTATATTGCCAAATCTTACTCTTTTGCGCCCGAATGGCTAGAACCTGTACTCACCAGGGTGGTGCATTGAAAGCACGGCCTCCTTGTCCAAACCTCGTTCTTTTGCACCCGAGAGAATAGAACCGGTCCTTTACCAGACCGGTACATTGAAAACACGGCCTCCTTGTCTACCGGTGAAAGTCTCGGGCGAGGGGGCTCATAACCTGAAGAACGAAAAATTGGACTGCTGGTACAGGCAGGAAACGGAATAAAATTGGGTCTGCCAATAGCAGCAGGTTACGAAAAAATGCGAAAAAAAAGGCATAAAGCCATGCTAAACTTCTCTGTACCGTTCCAATTTTAACGGATGTCCCAGAGGAGTATTTTTTATTTTTTTCATATGTAATTTGCTAGGCTTCCTGAGCCGCCCGGCCGGGCGGGCACGGCCGTGCACCCGTGCAGGCTGCACGGGTCACCCGTGCGAGCTATTTTTTATTAAGAAAAAAAAAAAGGTGATGGGGGCTGTTGTGCATGCAGAGATGTGCCCGAATCAGCCTTTTCCATACTGGCGGGGAGGTGAGGGATGGCGAGAGGGAGGTGGAAGATGGAGGGAGGAGGGTGGGAGATGGCGGGTGGGAGGTTGGAGGTGGCGAAAGGGGGGTAGGAGGTTGCATGCGGGGAGCTGGGAGATGGCCGGATCGAGGTAGGAGGTGGCGGGAGTTAAGTGGGAGATGGTGAAAGAGAGGGAGGTGGGAAATGGCAGGAGGGAGGTGGACGAAGGAGGGAGGGAAGTGGGAGATTGTGGGAGATGGTGGGAGGTGGTGGGAAGGAGGCAGAGGATTGGCGGGAGGGAGGCAGAGGATGGTGGGAAGGACGTGGGAGATAGTGGGAGGGTTAGTGGGAGGTAGCAGGAGGGGTAGAGGGAGGTGGTGGGAGATGGCAGACGAGCAGGAACGAAGTGGCGGGAGGGAGGTGGACGATGGCGGAAGAGAAGGAACGAAGTGGCGGGAGAGAAGTGGAGGACGATGAGCACACGGAGAAGTTGAACGAAGAAAAAGAAGAAGGACGATGAGGAGGAGGAGGAGGAGCAGCGGGTGGAGAAGTTCAAGAAGAAGAAGAAGAAGACCACTTACCTCCGCTGTTCGGAATGGCAATGGCGCGACCTGACTGACGACGGCGATGACGACGAAATGGCGGGCGGAATGGCAACACGGGGGACCCCCGTCCTCAGGCCCGCGCAGTTCGAAATTTCGAACTCTATTTCGAAAACGCGTGGGTCGTGGGGACATCCTCGACGAATCTCCACTGTAGATCTTCGAAGATCTACGACTGAGATCTCGAGTCCAAGATCAAAATTTTTAAGGCCCCCCGTGCGTCGGGAAAACAATTCGACATGTGGGGGGGCCTTAAAGAATTCGCGAGGTGCTGGAACTGGGCCCACTGTCCCCAGAACTGCCCCCCAAGCGCACGGCGCTGGGGCCGCACGGGGTCTGTACGGGGGACACACGGCCGTGCGGCCGTGCAACAATCCGTGCATGCCGGGGGTACCCGTGCGCACAGAAATGAAGCCTAGGTAATTTGTAAATGATTTTTGGCTGGTGCAACCATTTGATTATCTATTTCTAATGAATGTAAGTTATTGTAACTGACCCTACTCTATAAATGAGTTTGGGCTGGAATCACAAAACTGTCAAAAGTACGTGGTTGAGTATGCCCTCAGAGAGAGTCAGCATAGAGTACTTCGGATGAACAAACACATACTGTAAGGTGGGAGGCTTTCAAATAGCCCGAAACCTTTGATTCTCACTTCAACTTACTTGATGGCAGAACTCACATTCTTTGGCTAATACACTTCATGTCACAGGAGAGACAGTGGGCCTGCTTGCGAAGGTGTGAGGGAGGCCATGTAAAGGGAATGGCATCCCTTGAGACTTCTGGCTTGTTGCAGGCCTCATCACAGTCTGCTGTGTTGCCTCCTCCTAAAAATGAGCGAACTGTGAAGATGTCGTTGGGGTTGGTTTAGTTGCAGTGTCCCGAATCTCCTGAAATTCATTCTATTCGGGCACGGTGAGCTCTAGGTGTGTGCCTCCTTCCCCTTGGTTCCATGCGTTGTAATTTTGTCCAGAACTTGGGGTCATGGGATTATAATGCATGGGGTCCTGTGACGGTTGCCGCGAGGTTCCGTTCGGGGTCACTGGAAAGTATGGATTTGTTTCGTTTGCTCTGGGCTTGTTAAGCTTTGCACGTACATTTCTTGGATCTTGATTGGGTTTCTTCCAAGTTGCAAAGCTCTGCATGCGCATCTCTGCGATCTTGATTGGGCTTCTTTCAATGGATCTCTTTCGATTCCAGTGACCAACCCATATGTTTCTGTGCTGGATGTCTCATCCTCGTAAGATATTCTGCACTGTGAGATGCAATTTTATGCTCACATTTTGCTGGAACATGTTCAGGTGTGAAGTGGGTCCTTCATGAATGCGATCACAGGGCATGGGCAATGCACTTAGATTCTGGTGGAGGTCAAGTTCCTGATGCGTGAGAGTCTAAGTGGGGCAGTTGTGCTGGTAAATCTGCAGAGTGAATTTAAAACTGGACCAAAACCTGGCTATAAGCACAGCCAGCAAGCGTTTGCAAGCAGTCAGCCTGTTGGGCTTGAGTTTGCTGCCACAAAGAAGGGGATTCGTCAATATGACGGAATACTGGGTGAGTCAAGGGAACAAATGGTGCGAGTACTGCAGAATTTACATTGCGAACAATGCGACGAGCATCCGCATGCACGAGTTTGGCAACCGCCACAAGGAGAATGTTGCAAAGCGCCTCGCAGCTATCCGCCGGGGAAATGTCAACACCGAACGGGAACGAGAAAGGGCCATGAAAGAGCTGGAACTGATTGAAGAGAAAGCGCGGGTACAGTATGAGAAGGACTTGTCCTGTCTTCAGGGAGAGGGAGAGAGCAAGGAGAAGGTACCACCGACGGGTGTGGATAGTGCGCAGGTGGCAAGGCCAAGCCATCATACAGACGAAGAGGCAGGTGGAGGCGACACCGGGTCAGCTGGTGTTCCGCAGGCAACCGCAGTAGCAACGGACGTAACGGCAGAGGGCTTGTCAACAGACTGGGTTTTAGATCCTTCAGGCTCTGGGTATTATTATAATGCCAGCTCCGGTTATTATTACGATCCCAATTCTGGGCTTTATTACGGCGAACTCCATGGGAGGTGGGTAACACAAGAAGAGGCAATGTGTGGTGCGTCTTCTGCGCACGCTGCACAATCGCCGTTGCCTCATGGAGACCTTAGGGATAACAGCCACGCACAAGAGGTAGCACCGACGTATGATGTAGCGGCTGGGCCTGAGCTTCCGCCTTCTTGGGATAAGGACACATCAGACAGTGGGTCAAAGTGTGCAGAACCGAAGGTTCCACGGCCTTTGTCTGGTAATGCAGGCGACATTTGTACCGAAAAGAGAGAGGCTGGCCCGAAACCTGCAGCACCACTTTCAGGCGCCGTGCAACCGAAAGCTGCCTCGTTAACAAAAGGTAGGGGTGTTAGCTCCTCTCTGGAGGTGTCAAAAAGAAAAAGGGAGGCCCATCCTAGTGCAACAAGTGAGGAGGAGATGACTGCCATTGCAAAGAGAGAGGCTGCTAGGGCGCGCACTGCAGAGAGACATAAGAAGTTGATGGGGTTGTATGGGTAGGAAAGAGGGGTGCATATTGTACATGAAATGCGAACGAAGGTTTGGCGGAGGAGACAATTTGAAAAGAAGCCGTAGCAACTGATGGGTTTGTTTGCGTAGGAACGAGGCAACTGTTGTGCATGGAAGACAGGCTAAGGGTTGAGGAGGAAGATGGTTGAGCTGGAATGGTAGAGGCAAAAGCTGAAGGGGCAGGTGTCTATGGTAGGAGGGAGGGTTGGAGAAGGAGATGGTGAAGATGGAATAAGTAGAGGCAGGAGGTGAAGGGCGTGTATTGGTACAAAGGGGGAGGGTGGTGTGCACATAATGCAGGCTAGGGTTCACAGCGAACAGAGTTGGCAAGGAGCTGTACTGATTGTAATCAATGTAATGGTATGCGTGATAGAGGTCAAGGCTCCAAGGAGAGGACATTACATTGACAGTGCAGAAGGTGCTGATGACAGGGAGCAAGGAGAGAAGTCAGACACGACTGGAGCATGATTGATGTCGGAGATACCCTATCAAAGGGTTGAGGATGGAGATGGTTCAGCTGGAATGTTAGAGGCAGGAGATGAATGCGTGTATGGGTACGAGGGAGGAGGATGTTGGGCACAAAAAAAGTTTAGGTTAAGGTTTGGGAGAAGACATCTTTCCGTGAGAAATTGTAGTGATGGTAATGGTATGGGTATGCATGCTTGGGGTCAGGTTTTCAATTAGAGGACACTGCATTGACGGTGTGGACGTTACTGACGAGAGGAGGGGCTGGCAGGGGGAGAGAAGTCCAAAGTCAGTGGAGCAATACTTCAAAGAATGATGCGGGTGCGACACAGATTTGAATGTATCTTGTTGCTATTGCCGCAGTTGGATTGGAAGCAGATGAAAGGTTTGCATTTTTTTTCTCCATAGCTTTTGTGGGTTTGCTTAAGGTTTTCTGAAAGTGCATGGTTGTTACTTTCCCCTTTTGTGCAGGCTTTTCATGGGCCTCTGATTGTGAGACAAGACCAACAAAGGCAACAGCAAGGGGATACTATCCTGCTGCTGCCAAGGTCTAGGTCCATAATATAAACTCACAACAATTGTTTTCATGCGTTTCCTTTCTTTTGTCCTGTGCTTGGAGCGGATAGTGCGGGTGGTCTGCGCTGGAAAGAGGAAGGCAACTGCGTACCATTGTCTGGACTCGAAAGCTGCTCATCCAACATCCCTTTTCTGTGTGCATCTGGTTTGGCATGCGTAGCTAGAAGAGATCCAAAAAGGCAGGCAGGTGTGTGTGTGTGTGTGTGTGTGTGTGATGTGTTTGTGGGACAATCACTGGTCCTGTTGTTCTGCAATAGTTTGTGGCATGCTAACAGCAAATCATAATAATTAAACCACAGTAACCGACCGGACATCCGGACCAGGTTCCAGACAGTGTGGAACAACATGTCCGAGTCCGGTGTCCGGTCCATGATGTCCGGATGGAGGCCCCCAGGGCAAAAATCGAAAAATAAAAAAGGGGCGGCCCAGGACGTTTTTTGGGTCCTGGCCACCCCTTAAAAAATAACGGGGTGATTTTTCAGTGTCGTTTCACCCCACCGGACAGGTCCCAGAGGCCCGGACACAAGACACTGTGGGTTTTTGGGGTAGCGGGTTTCACAGAGGCTCGCACAATTTCAAATCGGCCGTTTCGAGGTGCCGCCCGCCGCTGCTGCCCGTTGGAGAGAGAGAGAGAGAGAGAGGAGCACTGACAGTGGTGCCAGTCTGAAGACTCTGACGTTATGAATTGAAATGCAAAGTTCGAACTTGTAACTTATATAAGGTTATGAACTTAAATTACTTCATTCAAAGTTCAAACTTTCGAAGTAAATCAGACTTTTTCAATTTTTTTTCCCCCTCTGTTTCTTTAGTCTTGTGCCTGCTTGCACTCTTTGCAACTCTACAAGTCTGCTAGTTAAATGTGCTTGTTGATTTGCTGCAAGACAGGTGCTCTGCTGCCTGAACTACGAAGTGCAAAGCAGGTGAGTGCCCCCAACCCCCTGCCCCTTTTTTTTTTCTTTCTTTTGGTCTGGAGTCTGGACATTTTGACCCCCTGACACCGGTACAGACTGTCCGGGTACAGGGATGTTCGGATGTCCGGTGATGTCCGGATCACCGGACAGTCTGGACCGGTCCAGACACTAGTCCGGAAGTATCCAGTGTCCGGGTCCGTGCTTACCATGAATTAAACCCACCACTTTTATGCACCATCAGGTTAACTCGGTGCTGCAGAGAGGCTTGGCCTGCCTGTGCGTGGGGCTCCAACGGAGAAAGCAAAAGATATTGAATTTTCCAAATTTGCAATTTCTGTTTTTTGTCTCTGTTAGATGAAGCAATCTGAAAAAATTATGGGTGTAGGTTACATGCTGCTGAGAGGGTTTATGCCTCGGCATAGGGCCCTGCAGCAGGCGCGGGCCCGCCTTAAGTGAAGGCGGCCCCCCTGAATCTCAATGTGGCCTGAACTTGTCAATTTTTGCAAATCTTGGTCGGCGCCAGACAGTTGCCATGCACCACTTGGTTACAATCCGCCTTGCTAGTGAGAATTCAAAATATTTGTGAGCCTTCCAGGCTCTTCCAGCAACATGGTCGGAGCAGGGAGCATCCCACGTTTGTGCCTGGGTGGTTGGGCATGCCTAACCAATTCAGTCCCAGCCCAGTGTCTGAATCGGGCCTGGGAGCAGAAACTTTGGCCGGGACTGAAGCTACTGGAAACTCAGTCTCACGTGGACATAGCAAAAGGCAAGCGCCCACCTCTTTCCATATAGGAAAGGGCAGGGTGCAGGGTGGACATTCGGGCACCAGTGTGCAACACGGCAGCTCTGCTAGAGCAAGTGCTCGTGGCCAAGGCTGTGCGCTAGCACAGGTGTTGGGAGGTGCGTGCCTGCAGTACATGTGAGGCTGTGAGCAGGGCGCTGCTGAGGGCACCGCCATAGCCAGCCCATCTATAGCCGGGCCCGGCGTGGACGGCCAGCGGAGGTGGTGGTGGTCTTCGTGCATGAGGGAGAAGACGTGAGTGATGAAGTCAAGGGTGTGAGAGAGAGAGAGAGAGAGAGAGAGAGAGAGAGAGGTTGATGATGTGAGGGCACGTACCTGGTCTTCGAGATGGTCTACAAGTGTCGACATCCTCATATACTTTGATTTGGCTGCTGACGTCAACAGGACGCATTGTCAATTTGTAGGCTGCTAGTAAGCTGTGTGATCGTAGTCTGGGCGCTGAGCCCAAAGTACGAGGAAGGACTCTGGATACATATGCCGGTGGTGGCGAGAGTATGCTCTCATTGGCATTCGGATTCAGTGCTTTGGTTCTCCGTTGGTGGAATATCAGTGTATTACTGCTTTCTGGGCAACGTTTGGACTTGCTGGCTTTCAATGTGATTTTGCACTCCGGATTTCTGTCATTTTGCTGTCTCTCATTTTCCTTGCAATTTGGTATCGGAGCTGGTTCGAGCCACTCCGCGGGCTCCTTCGGAATAGCTGTTTGGGGCTTCGCTGGATATGGTGGGGCAGTGATAGCGCTTGTGCGCGGGAATAGTCGTGGCCCTGTGTCATGTGGGCGTGCCCGGAAGGCTATGTGGCATAGTGCGCAGCAGCGCACATGTGCACACGTGCGTGACCACGTGATGCAGCGCATTTAGAAGAAAAAAAAATCAGAAATGGTAGGTTCGTACCCATAAGTGTCCCTCCCTTTTAACAGAGAATATTTTGGGCCCTTGTCGTACTGCTCATTGGTTTGATTCTCCTGTCCAACAAGTACCCTGCAAGCAATTAGCAGGGTTTCCATAACCTTTAGAAGGATGTGCATTCGACTGCTGGAAGACCACGAGTAGGCCAGCAAGATATCCCGGATTCGGATTCGGGTCGGTGTTCCAAGAGTTATGGGTTACAAACTTACCACAAACACTCCAGTAGTTGTCTCGTTTTTTTTTCCCCCCCTTTTCTTACGTGCAGTGGCCCTAAGGGCCTCGCTCCACTCATCAGCACATGCAGAAAAGAAAAACGGATGGCTTGTATGGTTCCAGTTTCTAGGAGAAGATTCATTCTAGTTTTGCACATACAGTAGCTGTCTGGTTTTTTAGTTTTTCCTTTTCTTACTTGTGTGCAGTGGGCCGAAGGGCCTGGCTCCCCACTCGTCAGCACTTGCAGAAAAGAAAAACTAATGGCTTGTATGGATCCAGTTTCTAGGAGAAGATTCATTCTAGTTTTGCACATTTGGTGAGTAGTGGAGTGAAGCCCTCAAAATCACATGCCGAGTTAGTAAGTCAGTAACCCATAACTGCTGAAACACGAACCTGAAATCGAAGCTACACCATATGTAGCTGGCCTACTCCCTCCTTACTACGAGTCCAGTGACGACCCTTCTGATGACCACCCCATTCCTGCCGAAGGGAGTAGCGGCAAGCTATATCATATGTAGCTGGCCTGCTCCCTCCTTACTACGAGTCCAGTGACGACCCTTCCAATGACCACCCCGTTCCTGCCGAAGGGACCCTTGCCAATTTTTGGCAGGGACCTTTTGAAGTACCGGCAGGGGTTGTCTGAATAATGTGAAAGGGCTTTGTGCTCTCTCTCTCTCTCTCTCTCTCTCTCTCTCTCTCTCTCTCTCTCTCTCTCTCTCTCTCTCCAGCGTGTATACACACATCACGGTTTGTTTGTTTTGCGCGCGCGCACCTGGGATTGGCGCACTGCGCACTGCACAGCGTACTGCGCAGCGCACTTCACCTACGCGCCGCAAGTATGCTATGTGGTGATATAGGGGTGCACTCTGGATGATGAGAGCTTGCTGACGTGGCAATTTAAGCGGAGGTGGAACTGCCTTGCATTGTGGGTTGTGCCGAGGCAGTCATCATAAATGCACGTGAGGTTACTGGTGTGAAATCTGTGGTTGGGGGCAGCATTTTGAGGTACGTTACTCATCTTATCGACCCTCTTTGTTACTTCTTACAGTGAGGAAGTGAGTTCTGTCTTGAGAGTCCTCTCATTGTGAGGTGTCGCAAGCGCTCAACCTCGAGAGTGGACATTCTTCCTGGGGAGCAAGTTGGTGGGAGACCGGCGTTGCCTTTGAAGGTCCTTGGACGAAGCACTCAGGTCACGGTCACCATGCCAACCCGCTGGGACTAGTACACACATGCTTTGCCGCTTGTCCTTTGTTCTGCTTGCTGCGCTATAGAGGGAACGTGGACTGACCAGTCCTATGCGAGACGTCTACCAGACCGTCTATAAATTATTTCCAGCGGGATCTGATATGAATACTGGCTGTGATCGTCGTCCTGTCTGCGACGTTAAATAATTCCTGAGGAACTTGGGGGTTGTCCTTAAACTGCCTCTTGATCAGCTAGATCAATCGGATGGAAGGCTCGTTGCACACGAGGATAAATAAGGGGCAGAACTGGTCATAAGTTATTTCCTGGGCACAGGGGTGGGCTGATTGCACACCTTCAGACACGCCGCTGAACCAGAGCTTCAGGACGTTGACATCAAGTGACTACTCAAGAGGGATACAGGGGGGGGGGGAGATTCCAGTGCACAGTTCGATTGTTATTAATGTAAAATTCCATTCTGCATGCACAACCAGCGAATAATTTTTGATAAGTTAGTTGTGACAGACATTGCGAACAACTGACAGACAGTTGCAGATAGGTAGTAATCTTTCCTTGCTGCACTGCAATCTGTTTCAGACTAGTCAAAAGTAGGAATAAAATTGTTTGTAGGAATCTGAGATTATCTGATGTTACCGGTTGACTACTTTCTGACAAAGCTGGATCGAACATTTATTTTATTTTTATTTCAAATCGATTGGATGCCATGATGCGGTAGCTCCCCGTGAGGACTAGTACAGATCGTAGGCCACGCATAGCTCATGAGTGGAGATGACAATGAGGTTGAGGTATTAGATCAAGACGATAGGAGGCTTACCCGGAGACGTGCACTCAGTCGGCCGACCACTTTTCAAGTGTTAGAACACAGAGAGGAAAGGAGACTGTGGAGAGAAGCCAGAGAGAGGACGACATTGC